TGCTGTTTATACTGTTTATGGGCGCCTTCTGACTAAAAACACACACTAAATTGACTTTTCTCTTTGCCGCTGTAAAACAGATGGAAAAAGTTAGAAAAAAAATCCTAAAGCACTTCCTTCACAGGTGACCATCACAATTTGGTGAAAAACAGATGGAAATTTGCATGCAAAAAACAACATAATCGTTTCTGAGAAGGGTTTCCTTGTGTGTTGGAGTGTGTTTTTGATGAGTGTGTTTCCTCTGAATCCTAACGCCAAATTACTGAGGTAGGAGGATACACTCTAAAAATTAAATGTTGAATTTACGTAACCAGTTTATGTCAACATGTTCCACTAAACCTAGTTGTTTAATACCAAGTTCACGTTTTTGAAACACATTTGCAGTGTACTACAGTATGAATGAATGCCTCGTGAGTCATTCTCTGTGGGATAAAAGCTCTGGCGCTCGTATTTCTGGAAGTAGAATTCGGCGGCCCAGAAGACGACAGGATTTGGAGTCTTCTCTGACATTCGAACAGCTTGCCTCTCCGGACCCTCAGCCCAAACTCCCACATGCACACACACGTTATATGGAGTTTTGATTGTAATGTGTTATCGGGGTTTAATGAATGTAATTTTTACAAACTAAAGACTGACTAAAATGATTAGAAGGTAGGGATTATTGTTTTAAAATGTAAGGAGTAAACGTGAAAAGGCTAATAGATAATTACTGCAGTGAAATATAGATACCCAAAGTTACTAATGTAATTATGTAACCTGTTTGTACTTTGTTACTTGACAGCTTTGAGTAAAAGGAATTGGTAAATAGGTTTTTGGTATTTTTGAACACAGCCACAAATGTATTTCACAGGTCCAAAGCTTAATTTGAGCCTTTTTGCTTCATTAAAATCAACATATTGTTTCCTGTTTAGAGTCTAAGACAGAAAAACAACAAAAAATGGCTTGATGGCAAACACTATAATCCCTGTAGTGATACGAGAGATTATAAATCAAGCATTAAATAGCTTATGTTCTAAGAGGTTCCCCGTTCGTGAATCTGTTAAAATGCTTCATAGACACGGTGTGAAGGCTGGGTGAGGCTGTAGCAGAGACATGTGGAGGGTTTCAGGACAGTCTGGAGAAAGGTTGTCCCCATTTTTACAATAAAGCTGGTTTGCCTTGGAAGGCAAACCAAAACGATTGAAGATGTGAGGGATGCCTACGTGCCGTTTCTTTAGATAAACCCTGTTTCCTGATTGTGTTATTTAGATAAAGGAAGACAAAGTATCTTTGCAAAAAGCACATCCATCAGTTTAAGTATTTCTGTGAACTCTGATTGCTTCTTCTCAGGGAAATTAATGATTTAAAAGATAATAAAATTAGAAGGTTACCTTGAAATTTCAAGGCATCACTTACACAGTATCAGATAATTAGGTCTGAGGTGAAATATATGGTTTTTCAGAAAGTAAACACCTGAAATAAAGACAAAGAATTTAATTAAAGTGTAAGTGTCCACTTGATCTGTAGCAATAACTTCTAATTAAATTTAACTGAGTATTTAGAAAAATCCACTTTTCTGCCTCTGCAAAAATGTCTCTGTCCGGCAATGTAATGAATTACTTGCATTTCATATTAAAGCCATTCTTTGCAACTATTTCATATTTTTAAATCATTTTCTTGAGCTACTATGTGCTAAAATGACCCTTTACAGCAGGGCTATTCAAGTTCGGGCCTCAAGGGCCGGTATCCAGCACATCTTAGTAATTCCTCTGGTCCAACACACTAGATTCACACATGGGCTGCATGGTGGCGCAGTGGTTAGCACTGTTGCCTCACAGCACGAAGGTTGCAGGTACGAAACTCGGCTGCGGCCTTTCTGCGTGGAGTTGCGTGTTCCCCCCATGCATGTGTGGGTTTCCTCCGGGTACTCCGGTTTCCCCCACAGATCACAACACACCCTATAGGTTATAAATTGTAGGTCGCTTTGGTCTGCAAAATGAATAAACATAAACATAAACATTGATTCAGTGGTTGAGTCAAGTGTGCAGCATCTCATCAGGCTCTGCAGAAGCCTGTTAATCACCTGCTGATTGAAATAAGGTGTGTTGACACAGGGTTAAAACTAAAACGTGCTGGATACCGGCCCTCAAGGCCCGGAGTTGAATAGCCCTGCTTTACAGGGTTAAAGAAAGGCCATCCAGCCCCCTATCACCTCCTGTCACCAGAACATTCCACTTGCAACTTCAGAGTGGTAGGCCACTCTGGTGGGACGTAGAAAAAAGAGAGCTCACATACCTGGTACTGCAGTCTGGTTCCAGCACGTTTCCTGTATGTTTTAGATCATGAACACAGCAGATTTGTTTAACTTACTCATTAATCACTCTAGTAGACACTAAGGAAGGCTGAGGAGACATTTCAGCTGTTAGATTAAAGTGTTTAAGGCGTGGAACGCACAGCAAGGAGATAAGTTTTGATTCATGCCCTTTTACCACCACCAGCAGGCACGGTGGGTTATGTGTCTTGCCCAAGGACACAACAGCAGCACTCTCCGCAGGAGCCGGGATCAATCCTACAGCCCTTGATTACTGGACATCCCACTCTCTCCTGCATTAGCCTCTAATAGAAAATAAAACACTCGGTTCAAAACTGCCTGACAGATCTACATCACACTGTCACCCATCTTCACTCGTGACGGGGAAGGCTGTTGTTCGTTTAGCATCCAGGAAACAACTGAGAACTTCTCGACCAGTAGAAGCTAGGAGGATCAGTGTTAATTTTGACAGGAAATTTTAATTTAGTTTTAGTCTTTTGACTAAAATTCTTTTTAGTTTTAATCACAATTTAGTTGTCTGATATATTTTAGTTTTAGTCATATTTTAGTCAACTAAAATATATAAAATTTTTCCTCTGATGCAATAATTTTCAACTTGTGGAAAAGAAACGTTAACCACGCTTGAAACTCATAAAAAAAGGAAAAGTGTTGGTACAATAAAACTATATATATAATTGTTTGTATAACAACAATGAATGGGAATCACCAAAATCAACACTGACAGTTTTAAATTGTGCCTCTCAATATTGATGAAATAAAAACATGTATAATGTGCAGCGACATTTTTAAACATGGCATAAAATGACATCATACCATCAAAACATTCAAATGTATTACTCTAAAGATAAACTAAGGGTAAGAATTGTTTTCACTTGAACGTTTCTCCTCATAAAAACACTGCAAGAACACCAAATGCTGATTGGCCGTAACTGCGACACAAAAATAAAAACGGTTAAACAACAAGATGTGCGATGCTCTGCTCCGTGGTTCAGTTTGCTGAGCTTCAACGCCACCTCTCCAGCGCCCATGCTAGCTGCTAACACCGTAACACTTTCAAATCCCAGGGAAACCCCGGATGTGTACTCACCAAGCAAATACTTTTCAGATTGTCAAATCTACTGCTTTTACTTTCAAGGCATTATTTCTTTGTGGACATAACTTTTACTGCCATAAACATCAGTATATGATGTCAGGTTAGCAGTAGCTAACTGATAGCTTGCCGGCTCCAGACTCAGATTGGTTCTTTTTTAGTACCACCTGTTCCATTTGGTGATTGGTTCTTTTTTCCGGTCGCCCATCTTTTCTGTTTTCTGATTGGATTTTTGTTTCTGTCAATTTTCTTTCTTTTTTGTCAATGAAAATTTCGGTCAATATTTGTTACAGTTTAGCCATTATTGGTGTGTGTGTTTTTGTTTTTGTGTCGTTTTAGTCTGTGAGAATTCATTCGTCATGAAAAAAAATTTTTTTTGTCAAAATAATTAAAGGTGGAAGGATGTTTCTGATTTTCAGGAAAGAACCGCCTTCTCCACATTTTGAAAAATGCACATGAGAGAAAGCGCCCAATTATCCTTGCGCACACTCTGTTTACAAGTTGCTGCCAGCCTTGCAGCTAACTTCTACTAGCAGTAATCTGAACTTAATTTCTCCAAATAGCATGCCAAACTTTAGCTTATCTGTTGAGCAGAAAACCGGTGACTGTGGGGAGCCCAACCTTCCCTTTGCGCATGTGCAGGATGTGAAAACTACCCAGCAACAAGCACATAAGACAACGGCCTTGAATGGTTTACCAGAATGATTGACAGTTATGCAGACCAATGGTTCAGATGATTCACCCAGAAATAAAAGATTCTCCTCTACACGTTAACAGTGGGGGGAATGTCCAAAGATCAGGAAATAAAACTCTAAATTCATGTTCTGGCACTTCCAGCTGACTTCCGCATCCTCAAACAGGTATACTGGAGCTTTTTTTCCCCAGAGAGCAACTTATAAGGCATTCATCCCTGCTAACCATTACAAATGTATTAAAAATATGAGTAAAGTTTACCTTTAATATTCATTTATTTATTTAAACATAATTTTATACGGAGGAATAACCACTTGAGATGAAACATCTCGTTTTCGAGTAGGTCCTCCTTTACAACAAAAAGAAGAACAAAAATCAAGAGCAAGACAGCAGAGCAAAAATCAAAACATTACAACAATCATTTACAGACCCCCCCCCCCCACACACACACACACACACACACACACACACACACCCTCAAAGGCTCACAATACTTCACCCCACACTACACGACCCCAACTAACAAGGACAAAACAAAAGTAACCGCCTGTTGAACAAATACAATTAGTAACATAGACAATTATTCATGAAGATGATCGACCAGAGCCCTTCGAAATGTTGTGAATGATGATAAACAACGAATAGATAAAGGAAGATTATTCCAATCACATGGAGCCTTAATGTATAAATTATTCTCAATAATCCAGTTGAAGCATGAATTACAATTTCAATATTTTAACATTTATTGTAACGGGTCAACAACATTTTTGTCTTCAAATAAATGTTACTAGGACTATTTGTGTGTTTATACCTGAAATGTGGCTTTAAAATAATTATCACCCCTTTACTGAGGAGCTCTATCTTTGTCTGCAGGCTCCTGAAGCTCCAACCTGTTGCGTGACGTTGTTCCTGTAAACATCTTTGAGTCAAACGGGTGGAGTGTGAGCGAGGAGAGAGGAGCTTATTCTAGGCGGTCTCTCGCAGACTCTGGTGAGAAACAGGCTGGAGAGGCGGCGGTGGAGCGCTCGGGAGGACTCCATGTGTTCGGACCAGCGTCGCAGCCTCGTGCAGAGCGTCTGGATCAGAGGAGCGGGGGGTCACCCACCCAGGATTTCTCCAGAGACGGAGGAAGATTAAGATCACGCGACACGAAATCATTCCCGTTATTTATTCCAGCCTCGTTTAGTGGACAGGATCAGCGCTCTGCTGCGTCTCCACACAAACATCCGCTCTTCCATCCGTTTGGCTTGTTTGCGTTTTATTTGTATTTTCTTCAAAGCAAGATGCCGAAACGGGAGAGAAAAGTGAAGCTGGCTCAGTCGGGAACAGACTGTTTGAAACATCAAGACGCCTTATAGGAACGAGTAAGATCAATGGAACAGTTCAATTTAAATTGTTTTATTATTTTTTCATTATTTTATTGATTTAGTTGCTGTGATGAAACATAAATGAACGACAGATTCCACGTTGGCTCAAATTAGGCTCTAAATTAAAAGTTGGCCACATCATTTCATCTCATATTCAACCTAAAGGCCATTTACAATCTGCCTTGTTGTTAAAACGACCAGTGCAAAATGCATTTTTTTCTTTTTTTTCAGTTTTTTGTCACCCCAGCATTATTGAATATTTCAACTTTGCGAATGGTTTCATTTTTTATTTTTATTTTCTCCATCATCTGCTTGATTTTTCCTTTCAAATATCAAGGGCGGTAGCTGAAGGTCCGTCGGAAAAACTCCGGAGAGCGAGGCTATATGACGATCGCAACACAGTTGTTGGCTTTCCCTCGCAGAAATGCCAGTGCGTGCTGTGACCACCAGGTTCATGTACAAGGGGCTTTGCACTATCCCGGATGTCCTCACCTACCGGACCCCTGTCACCCTGCCTGAAGACGAGGTGGAAGGTGAGCTGCTTTTTGTCCGATTCGGGTTTTGTAGTCGAGGATTCAACCTGTTGTTGTGATGCTTGTTGCACCTGAAAGATGTGGCTGGAGGGAAATAAGCACCTCGGATAGCTCCTGTGCGCTTCTGACCGAGCACAAGGTTGTTCGGGGCAGATTTTATGCACTTTCAGCATTCAAATCGTGCGTAAAAACACGGATGGGGTGTTCCTAAGCTGCGATGCTCAGAGGTCACATTTTATGGCTTTTTTTAACTTTCCTGAAACTGGTTAAATTCGTTAAAATGTTCCGGTAATTCTTCGATCATGCGGCGGAATTAATTGCGTCAGACCTGACTGTGAGAAAAATTGAGAAATTAGTGGGAGACTTTTCCAATTTAAAGAAAAAGTGGACTTGGAATACTTGAAAAGTACTTTAAAATGGTAAAAACTGGATCAGTGGTGAGTTTTAGCTTCATCTCACCCTTGATGTGCAGGACTTTGATCCTAAAACGAGCAGAAGTTTCACGATTTCATGCAGCAGCTGCAGTTTTTTAACCTTGGTGCATTCTGTTATAGGAATGGGGTTTTGTTCTGGTAAATGGCCCTCCCTATGAAAAGGCACACTTGGCAGAGACTGTGAACAAACCCTGAATACAATAAAAGAGATCCCCCTGATAAGGTTTGATATCTCTAAGACTGTTTTTCTATTTCCTCTTCTTCTGTGTGTGGGGAGCCCAGAACCACAAGTGGCACATCCAACCCTTGTGTTGAGCCCCTGTTTGACATTGAAAATCTTTTCATCTGGTGACACAAATTTAATTAAATGAGTGAATATGAAAAGCTGGAATTAGAACAAATGGCGACAGTGTCTGGGGTTGCAGGAGAGCCTCATGCCTTTGTGCTTTCTCAGGTAGAGAGTTGTTACACATTGAGAACAAAGCCAGACAGACCATTCAAACATTCATTTATTTACCCAACAAAGATTCACTGGGCAGATAATGCATGACAAGATTAACACAGCTGCAGAACAGACAATGCTTTTCTGTTAGTCAGCAAGCAGCTCTGCAGATACTTGTGTTTAAGAGCACTTTGTTTCTAGTTACTGAAGGAATATAGTGGAGTTCTTATGTTTTAAACCCCCATTTTATCAGGTGAGGGTATGAATCACACTTTCCCTTAATGCTGCTCCTGCACCACCTTAATGCTCCATGCAGCAGCACCATCCTCAATGCTGTCAGGGTGCAAACTGTGCTGCAGCCCAAAATTTCTCGGTTTAAAAAATGCTTTTTTCCCCAAAAACTATCTAAAACATCAGCGGGTAAATAATAATTCATGCATTAAATCTGTAATAACTGTGGGGAAAAGTTCTCTGATTGCTTAACGGGTGTAATTACTCTATTCTAATCATATTTGGAATAATCGCTCATCCCAAGAAAGGTTTGTCTTTATGCTCCTAGACTAATTTAGCATGTTTAGAATAATTAACTCTACTATATGTCAACGCCTGAGAATACGAACCTCTTCAACTGAAAAAATATATAAAATTACATAACATTGTAGATCAGTAATCAACATGTCTTGAAGAATTCATTTGTCAAATGAACTCATCTAATGCTGCCTGTATTGTTCTCCAGAGCAGCTCACCTGAATTAAATGTAAAATAATAAGTGAACCTTATTGATTCATACACAAACAGTGACGTGCGATTTTAATCAGGGGGATTTCTCCTGGTGACATTGCTGAAGGGACAAGCTGAAACACACACACACACACACACACACACACACACACACACACACAATACAAGGACGGAGGGACCTTGCATCCTGCGCAAAGAGATGCGTGGCGCATGCGGTCAGCCGCACATTAAACAAAGTGCTTCAGACAAACAACTTGAAGAGATTCATTTCAGCTTCGAGTGGAATCGTAAACAATGAGGTTGAATTTTCTTTTTCTAACAGAGTCCCGGACGTATGTTACACCCTGAAATCTGCTAATCAAATTTACAAGAGAAATTACAGCAGATCTGTGGAGTTTCAAATATACTCTAATATTGTACTTTTAGAAGGATGTGTTCAAATGGAAAGGGAATAATCATGTGAGGTACACGCAGTAGGTAAAATGATCTTTACTTATGTTAGACATTAATACTTCTACAAGTCAGTAAAATCAAATAGCTTTGTCTTAAATTTACCACATGTTGAGTTAATCAACTGAAGCAAAGATGTGAAAATTTAAACTTCTGCACAGAAGAAAATTAAATTAAATTGTTAAAGGGATATTTCAGCCATTTTGACACACATTTCTGCATAAAAGTTATTATTGCCATCATATAATTCATCGGCTTTTTGAACAGCTTGTGCTAAAAGAAATATGATTGCTGAGCTAACGGCTAGTCTGAGTTCAGCCTATGGTTGGAGGGTACAGGTGCTGTCCTAAATCAGTGCCAGTCTAAAAATGTAAATCATATACATATTAATTCATAAGTATTTTACTATAATTATTTAGAAGCATAAATACCATTCGCTGTAGAACAAGCCTCTGTTTTAGAGAATCAAATGGACCTTTCTCTGAAATGTACTGCTGCTATTTTAAAGCTTCCTCCTAGATCCTGCTGCAGTTAAAAAAATATTGTTTTATAAACCATCCCACTTCCTTCAGTTTGTGTTACATTGGACAGCAGTAGCTCAGAAGGTAGAGCGGGCTGTCCAGGAATCAGAAGGCTGCAGGTTCTATCCCAGCTCCGACCAGACCAGAAAATGCTGCTGTTGTGTCCTTGGGCAAGACACTTACCGGTAACCCACCTTGCCTGCTGGTGGTGGTCGGAGGTACCGGTGGTGCCTGTCTACGGCAGGTCTTGCCTCTGTCAGTGTGCCCAACGACAATTGTGGCTACAAATCGTAGCTTATCATCACCAGTGTGTGTGTGTGTGTGTGTGTGTGTGTGTGTGTGTGTGTGTGTGTGTGTGTGTGTGTGTGAGAGAGAGTAGGGCAAGGGTGCCCCCAAGGGGTTGCCAGGGGTGGAGAAGTGCCCCCCCCCCCCCCCCCATATATTGATCTTATATATTCAAGACATAATTGTAAAACAAAATAAAAATAATACAATTAATAAGTAAAGAAATAATCAGAATAAATAAATACATATGTTTTCCGCTGCTCACCATTTTTAAAAAGTTTTTTATCTCCATAGTTTTTTGTGAGCACAGCAACAGGTGAGTTAACCTAAAAAATGTTATTGTAAATTACATTTGGAATAACATTTTAAATAACTGAAATGTACTTTTCTGAAATGTTTGTGTTTGTAAAATTGACGTTAAATGTTTTGGATACGTATTGCTTTTTAAATAAAAATGAATAAAGGAGCAATCAGGAGTCACTGCTTAGCTCCAGCTGGCTACAATATTGAAAATGAAAGTAAACATGGGCAGTAAATTTAGCTTTTGTTAGCAGAATCAGCTGAGATGATAAAGTGGAGTGATGAAGAGCTCCAGGGGCTTCTCTCCGTTAGAGCTGGAGCTCAGATCATCTGACAGTTCACGGGGACTCACCATAAACCTAACCCAACAAACACCAAAGGAACAGCATGGGAAAAAACATAAGGAGTGTGGCTTCAATCATAATAAAAAGAAAGTTATGATCAAGTTAAAAAGATATCCGTGACAGCGCAGAGACCACCCCCATACCCACTGTCAACCACCATCCCATAATCCAGGGGGATTCAATTTGGGGTCTTGAGGACCGTTATCCATCATGTTTTAGTTTAAACTCTGTTTCAGCTCACCTAATTCAATATTCAAGTAAATAACAGGTGTTTGCAGAGCCTGATGAGCTGCTGCACAGGTCAATTAACCACTGAATCAAGTGTGTTCGAACAGAGAAATAACTAAAACATGCTGGACACCAGCCCTCTGGGCCCAGAATTGATTATCCCTCTCGTAATTCTTTGTTACTGCCATTGTCTGACCACTTATAAAAAACCTGAGGCTCCCTGATGCTGGCTCAGCTTTGCAGCAAATTGGTTGTATCCTTTTATAAAATAGGCTTAAGAAAACAAGTTGGAGCTGGCCACGCCCACCCACCCCTCACTCAGGCCACAGTAAGCTGAGAAGCTCCCATATCTGGGAGGGGCTCAGAGTAGAATCACTGCTCCTCCAGCGTCAACAGGTGAGACGTGGTTTTATGCTAACTCCCCTGATTGTGACACCACAAACAGCTTGTTTTAGGCACATAATTCCTAACACCAAACACTGACAATGGATGAATTTTTTAGAGGCAGTAGAGACCCACTTGACAGCAGAAAAAAATGCAAAAGGTGACATTTGCAAATATGTCTTCTTTAAATAATGTTGCATTAACTGCTGTAAAGATATGTGACTGCTGAGATGGCAGCAACATCATTCCTGTCTGATAGAAGCATTACTTCTCTGAACAGAGGCTGTCTGAAATATGCCTTTAAGGAGGTGGATTTGTTACCTTGCAACAGTTAAAAACATTTAAGATGGTCTTATTGTTCAAGTGGTTTCCTCTCACCATGCAGTGATCATGCACAATGTGGAGGTGCATCATCATTTTTAGAGAACCTTTGTTTATCAAGCACTCACAGCTCCACTCAAAGCAGAATATTTCAATTTGTCCACTTTTTTGCCTTGAAGTTTTCAGCTAAAGTGTTGTTCAAGCTCATCCTGCCTACTTCCCTCTCCTCGCATCTGTTTTGTATTTGCTTATTTGCTGATTGCTACTCACCCGTTTTCATCAGTTTCTCTGTACATCCTGCCCAATTAGCTTTTCTCTCTGTAAGATCCTTGTGTTTGTTCTCCTGTTTGCTTTGTGTTTGGTAAATCAGTTTACTCTGGATATCCTGCCCTGTGGCACTTTTAAGTTTTAACTGCTGATTCAAAAACTAAGAACCTCTGGCATCCAGCCTGCAGCCTCCAGTTACGCCTGAATTTGGGTCACCTCCTGATCCTATTTTCTCTAGAAGCACACTAAAACAAGACTGGACAAAAGAACATCAGGCATCCAG